TCGTTCACTCGATGAAAAGACGCTGTGAAGCTGTCTTAAAAATTAAGGGTTATCCTACTAAGTATTGATTGTGTAAGTATCACTTTAAAAAAATGCAAATCTAAGATAGATCTTACTATTAATTGCATAACTTTTTTTTTAATACAGATATTGTAATACTGTATTTATTATTAAACTCTACATTAAATTACCTTCAATTTGATATATAAACGTTTGTATTTACGTGAAAATTACAACAATGTGGTTCATGGCTCAAGCGTACATTGAGGCAAAAGAAGCTCCCTAAATAGCTGCTTATTTGTAACCTGTGAATGTTAAAAGAGCAGAAATTAATTTCAGTGAGAAAATGAAAACTAAACTAACGCAGTTTTAACAACTCAATTTCCTTATTCATAATGCTACTTCAACTGTGTAGAATTCTCATACATTACCTTTATAGATAATGCGTGGTGGTGGACATAAACGTATTAAAATAGATCGTCAATGCAACGTTTGTTTTATTTTTTTGGAATTTCATAAGACCCATTGAGCTTGAAATAAAAATTTGATGAAGTACATTTAACAGCAAAAAATGTTTATTTACAAAGAAATGACAATTTTATTGGAATGAATCATACATAATGATAACAATGAGTGCATTAACTGTGCACAATGTTATTGATTTACATCTCTTCTCTGTTTTATCGAAATAAAAACTTTTATTTTTCTTTTCTAAATATCTTCTCAAGATCTTGTGATTATCGATAATGCATTGATAAGGTACAGTCAGTGTACTTAAATTAAATGTTAGTCTGGGTAAATAAGAGTGTGAAAGATAAATTGAAGTTGTTTACTATTTTGACTTGGGAAATAAAAAAATAAATAAAGAGGTCAGTTCAATGTGAAATTAAATCGCGATCTAAGTTGTAAACAGATCTCTGAAAAAAGAAAAGAAATATGGTTTGAAATCGGAAAATAAGACTTCTATTTGGAATACTGTTAGAAACAATACTTGTATAAAATATTGCAATGCTTGAAAATAAGAATTTCATTGAAAATAACTACTGCACATTCACGCATCGTGTTGTTTAACAATTAAGAGGGAAGGAATAGTTTGCAAATAATAATGAGTTAGTTTCAAAGTGACCCTGAAACCCATACTAACCAGAACTGTCACTAGTGAGAATATTAATTCCACAGATTATATATGGGTTTTTTACTTGATAAACTAGCAAATATGGATTGAGGAACGAAAAATAACCTCATTCATTCAAGTATGGTACATTAATAGATTCTTGCATAGGGTTGAAGAATATGTAAATTCCTGTTAGAATTTATACCCGAAACGAATGAAATTTCAACTGGAACTCAACTGAGGGCATATTTAATTAAAGAATCCAATAAACTGTTCTTTTTCGAAATATGTATATTGATTCATGCTACCGGACATGAATAAAAAAAATGTGTTCAGAGCGTATTTAGAGATTTACAAAGAGGTGGGTTATTTACAACGATGAATCATACGATGCTTCATACTCCACGGATGGACGCGTGGCGGCAGCACTTGTGGAAGATGGCGCCTCTGTTTTCGACGCACTGTCCAAATGTGCGCATCAATTTGTCTGCCGTCGAATCGTTCTTTCTACCCTTGTGGAGAAGTTGAGGAATTCTCTTATTGTGTGCCCTATTATAGTTTCTATAGATAATCCTTGTTGCATAGAATTGGGAGAAACAGAGGTATCCTTTCTCTCCGGCCATCTGACCCAAAGTGCAGCACTGCTCCTCTTTGCTTCGGACTTTGCCTGAAAAAAAAAAGAATATAGAACACTCAGACATTCACATTTCATTTTTTTTATCCACCTCACACCTGTTAGAAACTGCAACTGAATATTTGTATTAAACTTTTCAAAGAGTAAAAGTGTTATTTTTAACGATAGTGTTGTTGTTGTTGTAGTTCATTTACGTCGCACTAGAGCTGCACAATGGGCTATCGGCGACGGTCTGGGAAACATCCCTGAGGATGATCCGAAGACATGACATCACAATTTTGATCCTCTGCAGAGGGGATGGCACCCCCGCTTCGGTTGCCCGACGACCTGCACGCGAAGTCGAGCACTTTACGGTAGAAGAATTTAACGAGGACCCATACCACACACCCTCGATCCCTACGCAGACTAATCCAAGTGGTCACCCACCCGCACACTGACCGTAGCCAGTGATGCTTGACTTCAGTGATCTGCTGGGAACCGCGTCTTAAAGATCAGTCCACTGCGGAACCATTTACTTGAAGAGATTAATTAATCCTTACAAAACTTGGATCTACAAAACACTATGTTTACATTAGGATTGGCAAAAATCATAATTGAAGGGAGGGTATCGATTTTATTTTATTTCTTAAACAAGGGTTAATTGGGAAACTGTAGCCACTGGACCAGTAACTTAAGGATATTATTAGTGCATGCACAGTTACAAAAATGAAATTTGGTTGGGCTGTATTTTAATTTTGTATCTTAAACTATAAGGTTTAAATGTAAAAAAAAATATTAATAATAATTGTCAAAGAAATGTTTTTCTTTTTATCCCACTTATTATTAATCAATTTTAAAAATCTCTTGAAGACCTAAAATGATTTTCGTAAAAATCCCTTTTTATTTTGAATGAGTTCAATAGAATAAATGTAGAGATAGAGAGGTTCATTTGGAGATAGATGACGTCAACTGAAGTGTTTCATTTACGAGTGAGACATTGAACGACTGATAAAGATCTGATCAGATTGCTTGATAAATGTTTCTCGGAACATTTATCGACTTTTTCCCACAGAGGCATCCTGATAATTATATTCGAAATGTTATTACTATTTGATGAAATGGACAATTATAGTCCAGTATGCAGCGGGCATTGTATTATTTAAGACGAAATGATGTTTGTTTCGAATAATATTGTCCTCTTGAACAGCAGAGAAATGCCTTTCATTAAATTTCTTTTTTTTACATTAGGTGTGAAAAGGAAAACTATTCGACCTACATTCATATATTTTATTTTTTATTTTAGGAGATAGATACGCAGAAAACTCTTAAAAGAGTGAAAATAAATTACCTTGAGTAACATTATTTAATCTAGAAATGGAATTTTCACGCACTTAAATTCCATTATGATGGTTCGAAAGACATTCTTTAAATAAGTGACATGTTAAAACTACTTATCATTTTTACAGTGTTTATGTGAGTGTTACATACATTAAGTTACGAAATCAGACACTAAAACGTACTTTCTACGAATAAGCTTACCATTTTTCTTTTGTCATGGATTCAAACTTTAACTTCCAAAATATAGTGGATATTAACAATTAGGGAAATGGGCACTAGCAGTTTAGTAAAGAGCATATGGTTCAATTTTCAGTTGAAATAAGAAAAGCTAATTTTTTTTTAAAAAGGGAAGTAAATTAAAGGGTATTCTTTACTAGTTTAATGAGAACTATCAATTGCTAAAAACTTTCAGAAATAAGTTGTGACGGAATGGCGAAATGTATCAAACAGAATATTTATTCAGATGTGTTCATGTGAGATGTCAGATGTGTTCAGATTCCATTCTGATGCAACTCATGACTCACACATTGCATCATTTGGTTTTAGAAATTAAGCCTAAGAATCTTCATTGTTTTTAATGTACTGTACACACACATAAAACTTTATCTTTATGAAATGTGATACAGAAGAAAAGTGTTTCTTGTTTTAATTGCACTAAACAATGGTGCGCTGCTATGTATTCCGAATGTAGCAACTAAAGAAGATTAATAGTAGAATGATAACACTGGGGAACAAATTTTTTGTTGCATTTATCCAAGTATTTGATCTTGTCTGATTAGGGTGTCGAGGATTTCCAATTTGACAGATTTTTTTTCTTCAAATTAGTACTTTTATTTTAGTAGTTCAATTAATTTTTGTCAGAATGTTCAAGATTTTAAAGAAGGAGTATATATAGAGCNCTCATATATATATATATCAATGTTTTCTAAATTCAAGTGCCCGGTACGCATTGAGACGGTACTCCGATCACTGATGTTTCTCCTAATCCATCCTCAGCAGATATTAAAATATCGAATAATAATAAAGACAACGAATAAAATAACATCAAATCGCATATAACAAAGCGACTGTGTGATTGTTGACATTCTCTTGATTTCTGTCATTCACGGTAACAGAATAATGTGGATACTTCCATACTATGTAAACAATAATTCTGTCTTAGAAGATTTTAAACTGTTGGTTCAATTTGAAAGATCATGTTTTTAGAATTGGTGGCATTATCAAAATTCGGATTGACCCGAAATGACAGTTAAAAGATAACAATTTCTTTCTAGCTTTAATACCAGCAATTTCGAAATCATTCTATAGCCAACGACTCTCTGGGAAATTTGTTCGAGTGCATATTAAAATTGGTTACTTCATTTGCTTTGTTATGAAAAACCAATACCCTGCATGTTAATGAAGCAATTATTAATTTAGCAATTTATTGAGAAATGGATTTCTAACCAATCATAGTGAAGACCACACTTTTTAGAAAATTATTTTGACACTTTTTTCATTCATCATGTTACAATAGCTTTAGATTTTTCAAATAACATCTTTAAAAGTCATGTTACACTCTACATAGAAGCAAATAATTATTTGCCTTTGTAAAGTTTAGTTTGCCCTTTTCAAACTATAGTAAGACAATGAGGTTTGCGCATCGGTAATAAGCGTTATGGACTGTATGAAAAGGTGTTTTAAAGAAATTATGACTGATTAAAAGTTTTAAACTGCATTATAGACGCCAGATTTCAGTGCATTTCTCTAAAAACGTTGATTGTAACGATCCAATTTATTGATTGACAAAAATGTTCATTAATTTCAACAAATGAATTATACGTATAAAAATGTGCGGAGTTTTAATAGACGCCCCATACAAATTAGACTACGATATTTCAATACTAATTTGAAACACCTAAAAATTAAATTTTGTGGAAATATTCTTTAAAAATATTGCATGTTTTCCTTTTGATCTTTAAAACCCCTTAAAGAAAATATTTTTCCAATTTTTATTTTTCGCAAATTGAACTTTTTGTAAGGGTAATTTTTTCAGCACTTCAAGAATAAATGAATAAAATAAAATAAGGGTATCTTATGTAAGTATTCATCATAAAACGTAGTTAATTATTTGCTCACCTGTCCTGAGAAATAAAGAAGGTACTGCCATCTTGATTTCGATCTGCTGCACCAGGATGGATTGCTGACGCTTCTCCAGATGCAGAAGGTATTCTGTTTTCAAAAAAAGATCTTTTGTTAAACGAAACTTCATTCGATTATGAGAGAGCTATCACGATTATTAATATACTGGGAAAGCAGCGAAAATGCTTCTAATTGCATTCATGATAATTAAAATTCACTAACAATATTTAGACAAATTGTTATTTAATGACTAGGAATGAATTAAAGTCAAATGATTCACCTATTAAAACCGTTTGCTGAATTCGTATCGACCTGGGCTCACCTCATTGAGAGACTCTTGAGTCAACGTGAGTCAGTATCTGTGTTTATAATCTGTGCCCTCACATTTTTTGGTTTTATGGCTATCAATGTTTTACTCCGTAACCTCATAACCCAAAATGCACGGGAACTCTTGGATCAATCATTGGGACAGTACTAGACTTCGTGGTGGTTCGTTTACCACTCAGGAAATTTCTCGTCAGCACTGTGGTCAGGGCAAGTCGGGATCGAAATTCGTATCGACAAGCCATCACTGGGATTTTTACTAAGAGGCGATCGTTCCATTTCCTGAAATTTTTTTTCAGTTTGTCGATTTATTAAATTATTGATTTGATTGAAGTATAACAATTCTGTATTAAAAAATCGGAAGCTCCGCCACTGCCGTTTTAGGTACTATGTTACATTTTGTTTTTCTACTCCAAAACTATCAGACATAGAAAGAAGGTGTGTAATAAATGTACAGAGAATATGATGGAAAATAATTTAACATTCTATAATAAGTTCGAGAATTATTAACTGTTAAAGTTTCAAAAAAAAAAAAAAAAGAAAGCCGGCTAAATGACCAAGTGGTTAGCGTGCCTGACTGCGAAGCCAAAGGCTGCGGGTTTGAATCCCGCTCAGGGCCTGGATGTTTCTCTGTCTGCGTGTTGCCCTCTGTTGTGTGAATGTGGCCCACCCTATGAACGGGTGTCTGTGATAATATAACGTGGATCATGTTGCTCGCCTTCGTGACTTTGGTTCACAGGTGCCCACAGGGTAGCGATAAATGAGCAACACTTGCCCGACATCTTCAAAAGCGAAGAACGAAAGTTCAATGACTGCCTTTATTTTTCAAAAAAAAAAGCACCATACGGGTGTTTTACAGGTCACAGAATGTAAAAACAGAGTTATAGTTTTATTTGCTGAAAAACCATTTTTGCTTACGGACTTAGGGCGAAGTTTTTTTCAAAATTCCAATTTTTTTTGCGGATTTTTGTCACTTTTTTTCCTTTACGTTGCCTTTTATTGTAAGCAAAAAATTGTAAGGCATAGAACTTACGAAGTTGCGTGGAAAAAGAAGTACGGTGGACTAAAAATTGGAGTACGATGGCATACGATAGGAGTACGATGGAATAAAAAATTTGGGATTTGATTAATAGTTTGAGAAATTATCAACCATTGAACTTTTAGAAAGAAATATCATGTGATTCCATCTACAGCTCTATTAAATGTAACGACAGAATTGAATTTAACATGCTGAAAACGTTTATATTTGCATTTCCAGTTAAACGTTCCCATTTGTTTTTTTTTTTTTCGAAATTCCATTTTTTAAAAAAACTACTATAATTTTAAATGTTTCTGTCGCAAAATTTTTCAATTTTTTTTTCTTTTTAAAGGATGACTATTTATTTATTGTTGTGGAAAAATTTATTTATCTCTCTTGAGATTTTCATAAAGAACTTTCCTCGAGATTCTAACCCCATTCCACACACCTTCCTCCCTTCTAACAGTATGGACTGCGCAGAAAAATTTTATGCCCCTATATAAGTTCGTATCGACTGGATTCAAAAGTAATAAATAAATATATATATATATATAATAATGCAAAAAGAGAATGTTGCCAGATAGGTTAGATGTTAGTTACCGGATCTTCAATTTAATATAGAAATATTTAAAAACATAAAGGACTCAAGAGCGATAAAAATCCCTTATAATTGGAACTTTTATTTATATATATTAAAAAAGAAAATCATGTTCTGACTAATTCATCACAGAAGAGCTTAAATTACTGAAGCTAAAAACATGGACAATGACCCCATTTTATGTCCTAAGGAAGGAAATTTTGATATTCCTCTTCTAAGGGGGTTAAATAGGGGTTTAAAGGTTGTTTAAAAAACCGTGGATTTTGACATTTTCTTAGGTTGTTTTAAGTAATAATTCATAGTCAATGATTAGTTACACTGTAAATATTTGTTTAGATTCATTTTGTTAGGTTGTCTTAAGTAGAATAACTAGTTAGATATACGTTAAGGATTTATTTAGAATTTATATTTTATTATGTTATTAAGTTATGATTTAATAAATACAAGTTAAATGGAAAAAAAAACAAAAACATATACAACATTCCAGGAATAATGCATTTTATATGGTAAAGCCTAATCCTTTACCTAATCTACACAAATAATCAAAAAAAAAAAAAACTTTTTGAGGACCGAAATTTTTTTGTTTGTATATTTATGCTTTTCGGGGTGTTCAACAACATCCACAATTTTTTCAGGAAACATGTCTTTCCAGAAAAATCTGGAAAAAAAATTTTGTTTTCTGCATATAATCTCGTTACATTTTAAGAAAGAAAATTTTGAAGGTCATATTTGAGACCAAGATAAAATTTCCTTCTCTACTAACACAAATACACGTAAAGCTAAGAGAATTATTATGAGTATGGAAATAACGACGTCTCTTTCTGTGCTTCAGATGAAAAAAATCGGGGAACATAATTAATAGAGCTCTGAAACTTATAGAAATCTTTCTTGTGAAATCTAGTACCTAGTAGATTGCTAAATCTTTTCCATAGTTTTAAGGATCTTTTCCATTCGTGATTTTTTTACTAATTGCTTAAATTTTAACTCGATTTAGACTTCTACTAACAATAATGTCAGTTTTCCCTTCCCTTTCATCAATTTATTCCCAGCACCTGAGAAGAGGGTTTAGAATCAGATGGTCTAGAACAGGGGTTTCCAACTTACATGTGGCCGGAGGCAGCAATTAGATACACCAGTCAAAAGGCGAGCCACAACTTTATCAAAGTTTTACATGGGACTCCTTTATGTTTGAAAGAACATTAAATATTGCTGTACATTAACAAATGATATTTTTTTAAAAATTAATGGAACAAAAAAAAAATTCTCGAACATCTGAAATAAATTTTTTTTTTCTTTTCCGCTCATGTGATATTCAATTCAAGGAATTTAAGTTAAACGTGATATTCATTCCCTCTTTTAAGCGTTTTAAAATTTACTAATGTAAATAATTTCGTTCAAAATGAGTGATTTCAAAAAGTTAAATGAGAGAATTTCTTCGAGAACATTTCTGAAACGCACATACTAAATTATATTCACAAAATACAAAAAAAAAACGAAGTAAAAAAGTGCTACATACACAATTATTTTTGTGTTTGAATAAATATTTTCTTGGATGCAAAACCTGAGAAATAAATTTCTTTGCACCGTTGGTATGTTAAATTTTACAGAAACAGAGGAATTAAGTTTTTTTAAACGAAAGAAGAGTATTTTAAAACCGTAAAAATTTTTTACGAAAATTGTCCGCAAAAAAAACGACAACTAATATATTTTAGTTCGCGGGCCACAAAAGAAGGCTTCGTGGGCCGGATGTGGCCCCGGGTCGGCAGTTGGAAACCCCAGGTCTAGAAATAGATGGCTAAGATCAGAAATTTCTATTTTAAACAAAAAAAAATTAAAAAAAAGAACTATTTCCATTTTGCCAACAAAAAAAAACCCCTGGATTTTCCAACTGAAAAAAAAAAAAAGAAACTTATTTCCTGGAAAAAAAATTTGATCGAAAAATGCAAATTCGTATTCAGCACCCCCAAAAACATAAAAGTACAAAAAGAAAATGCTTTCTCCAGATAAAATCCTTTATTGTCTGAACTATTCATTTGGGGTCATTTCGCTTCATCCATTGATATGTTTACGCAATGAATAACTTAGGGAATAAAAAAAGAAAACATAAGAAACCTGTTACCCCTTTTTATTTATTCTATAGATCTGAGGTTAGATTTACTTATCCGTGAAGGTGATGAAGTTTATGTAATGAATATACTACCACTACTAATTTATTTATTAAATTTAGGGTTGCATTTACTTCACAGTACGAAACTTTCAGAATGAAAATTCAAACTAGCCTTTTAATGTTATAAGCGTAATTCGTCATTTATTTATTTATTTTTTTTGCCTACTGCACATTCATACTTGACTTAGTATTTTTCAAGTCTTGTTTTTGAAATGGGTTCAAAATTAGAAGAATATGAAGGGGAGCATTTTTGCCCCGAATCTACTTCTTGTTGTATATCGACGGTTATAAAATGTTTATTTTTTTATATATAGACTAACCAGATGAAGCACTTTCTTTTCCACTTTTACAATATATTCAGATTTTGTACGTATACATTTCAAATGAAATTAAATATCATTGATTCAAATAAAATGAATTTCACTGGCAGCAACAATTTAAATTTCGGATAAATAAGGAAGAAAGAGGGTGTGGGCACGACATATTATAAGAAGAAACAAATGACCTTAAATCCCATTCTAAAGGTCATGCAGAAAGGGTGGGTTCATAACAGTCCTCTTTTGTTCATTCTTAATGTGACCATTGACTTTTAATTCAGAGAGGAAAATAAAATAAATGTTGACAGATTAGATTCATGTCTCACTCTTCATCTCCATCACTCGTTTAAGATTTCACACTCCTAAACATAATACGAGGCATTCTCCAAAGAAAACTTTCGCTAACTACTTCTTGAAGCAAATCATCTTTTGCATTCTTCACAGGTTTGCCTATTCCAGGTAGCAACAGTTCTTTCTGTTAAGTGTTTGGCATCACCTGATGATAACATTTTGTAGAACTGATTTTAATATTTTAAATAAAAATTGTTTCTAATTTGTTCAGATTAAAAATTGCATACCAAGCCTCATCCGGAAAAGATTAAAAAAAAAGTATTAGTGAAACCATTTTACTATAATTTAGAAACACAGTAAATTATCAGTGAATAC